AAAGAGTGGGGTGGGGGGGGGGGTTGCGTGGGACTGTTCTACATAAGCTAGCCCGCTGTGTGGCTAGCCGCAGAGCGTCCCACCTTTCCACGGAGAGCGGAGATATTTTCACTCGAAATTCAAATGCACCTATTTCCTCTGTAGTTTATGTTGTTCGGCTAGAATAGCTGCAGGGCTTCCTAGCTCGCAATTGTGAGATTTCAGGACTAGGCTGGTCGGCAGGGTGCTGGTGACAGAAGAAGGGGGAGGGACACGGAGGAAGAGGACTGAGAAGGAGAAAGGGAGCTGGGGGAAGGGCCGGGGAGGTGTCGTCGGGCAGTAGGGGGAGAGCTGGACCCTTCACAAGTGACGCATGGCAGGCGGGGGTGGGGAGTGCTGAAGCCCGCTGGTCCCAGGACCCGCTTTAGAACCAGCTTCGGGAGTGGCCAGATTGAACGCGAGGACCCGGCACCAGCCAAACTCTGCAGACCGTTACTCGGGCCTCCCCCTGGGGCGGGGCGCGCGGGGGCGCGGCTCAGACAAACCCGCGCGGCGACGTCTCCAAACACAGCCGAGAAGGGAAATCAGAGAAAAAGGACAAAACGAAAAATGCAAACGGGGGAGGGCTTTAAATTGATTTCTTTGCCTTGGAAAAAAGAGAAAGGAAAACGGAGAAAGGAGCCCACGTGCCCGAGAAGGTTGTTGTGTTAAAGCGCCACCTTCCGTCGGCCGGGGACGCAGAGGGTTGCACCCGCGGGCTCCCGGCCGCGGCGCTGGGGAAGCGCGGAGTCCCGCGAGGGGCGCGCCGGGGAGCAACTGGGACTACCCCAGGGCCGGCCCGGGGCTGCGGACCCCGAACTGGGTTGCACCGCCGTCTCAGGCTGGGCGCGTGCTCGAGTGTGTGCACACAGTGGTGTGTGCGAGCCCCGTCTGCTCACGCCGTCGCGTCTCCGGGGAACTGGACACAAAGGGGCGCCGAGCCCCTCCCGGGCCCTGGTCCTCGGTGCACGCGAGATAGCCTGGTTTGCCTTGGGCTCTCCGGTTCACCGCGGTGCCGTGTGCGGCTCCGGAGGCAGCATCCCGGGGAGAGGCGCATCTGTGCACACACGCGGAT